GGTCCTCCACAAATGCTCGCGAAGGAGGCACCCTCCCTCCCCCACAAGGAGTAACACTTCCCCGATCATAATGCAATGGGGATATGTTAAAACTGTCAGATCAATCAGTTGTAAAAAAAAACAACAACAACAAATGGGCAGCATTACAGCGCCTTGAATAAGAGTTGCAATACCAACTCCAAGCCAATCATAGCCACTGATAAGATACAGAAAAAGGCCAGCAATGAGAAGTAATTAGGGTATACTAAAATAACCCTTGCCTCACGCGCGGGAAAACGAGAGCGATGTGTTTAAGTTTTGAATTAATCTGATTGGTTGAGCACTTGGCGCCAGCTTTCTGAAACTACCACGTAGTATAATGAAGCAAAACCTAAGTAACTTAAATATTAAGATTATCTTCGTTTGCCACGTTTTAAGTTACAAGAAAGAAATGTCATTGACCATGATATTTTCTTATTTTTCTGGAAACGTAGATTAACCCTACATTTGTTTCTCACGCACTGGATTGTGCATTGACAGTGGAAGAAATTAAAATTAATGTTTCGACTTCTCACAAGTGTCAACTTTCGAAAGTTTTCCATGTGTATGAGCCCCAACGCCAGGGATGAGAAAGATTCGGCATGGCAGAATCATTCTCATCGCAGGTATCGGGTTCATTCAATTTTAACATTTTCCAACTTTTTTCCAAGGTCTTCATTTCGTTCTGAAGTGAAGGATCTATTATCCAGATTAAGTTGGGTGGCAATGTTTCGTACGATGACTGTAAATATATATAAAAATCATTTATGTAAACTGCGGTCTAAGAAATGAATTTGTAAGTGATCTTTGCAGTGTTGGACACTACTTAAGCAGTAGTGAAAATAAGGCCTGAAAAAGATTCAGGCCTGTACGGGATTTGAACCCATGACCTTCGCGTTTAAGGCGCAGTGTTAATGTTTGGTACCGGGAAAATCACAACGACACGTTTGTTTCCTCGTTCCACACAGGTAATCGAGGTGTATGACCTCGAAAGACGAGATGATAGTAGTTGTAATCCAGAGGTGTGCCGATATACGAGAGCCAAACAGGAAAGAGGTACTTCCTATAACTTTGAAGTGTCAGGATAGATTTCAGAAGACCATGATATTATTGCGTTTACACTACCTCTTTTACTTTTCAAGAAAGGTAGATTAAGCCTCCACATTTTGTTCTTAGTCAACGGATATATTATTGACTTTGGAAGAACAATCCACCAAATGTGCATTGGCTCATTCGGGGAATGGTACTTCTAATGTTAATAATAATTGCTGCTTTGCAAAAATGTGTGAACAGAAGTTTTCTCTAATTATGCTAAATAGTTGAAGAAATTTACCGCTTTCAGGTCAAGGAGTACAACATGCGAATGCCTGAGAGGAAATAAGCCTAAATCTGAAAAATTAAACCACGATACCACACGGTCATGATTGAGCCTCAGTGTGAAAAGTTTAAGTTCAGTCGACTCTCGCCCTGAAGACTCCTCGCTATTACAGACATCCCCTCTATTAATTGAAAACAAGCGCCAGCCCCCTGACAAAATGCATAACCAAGTGACTGAAACTGACACTCCCATTCTGATGGACATTCGCTCTTTTGGAAATGTGGACACTTTCATGCCCCCCCCCCCTCCCCCCTGCGCAATATTTCACTTTTTTTCCTCTCGTTATTGCGTACACTTAAGTACTTCGTCCAAAATCCTGACTCACTTAATCCAAAGCGACATCAGGATAAAGAAAAATAAAGAGACCATTCTTCAATTGGGTGAGAACATGAGAATTTCCTGCTTGCGGCCAGATCTTTCTCCGGTTCGTGAGGCCACGTTACAAACTTTATCGTTGCGTAGTTACATATCAATTTCATATTTTTGAAGACAAAACAATGTATTTATCTCTCTTGCCCCGCGATTACGGCCTCTCGCTAGTGTGGACACTAAATCTCCCCCTGCGGGTGTCTGCAATTACAGAAGTCAGCTGCACAGCGAAGAAAAATAGTTCTTTCTTTCAGAATGGTTGATTATAGTAGTAGTTTATTGAAAGATGTAAACTCTTCGTCTTGTGTATTTTCACAGGGGTATCAAAGGGAGCAAGTCAAAACTCTTAAACGGTTTTTAATTGCCCTCTTTGATGCCCCTGTGATTAGATTATTTCGTCTGCCACCTCATCATGGGGTTGGAATTTCACTTTCCTCAGATTGCATGAATCTTTTTTTTAAAGAACTTAGTTTTTCTTGTATTGGGTCATTTCTTTATCTAATGAAAGACAACCAATTCCCCTTTCATCCACAATCTCCACCCAGAAATTAAAATGTTTAATATCAAAACTGAGATAAAAGCAGTCTTCGTAAAATGAGCTTCACGATCCTATTTAGATGTGACTGAGGAGAAATGATATCCTAACGAGCTTCTTGCAAAAAATAGTTTCTCTACAGAAGGCCTTTTCCAGGCAAAGAAGTGCAACGCAAAAAGAAATATTCAATTGTTAAGAGTAACGACGAGCCACTAGCCCAAGAGCGGCGGCGGATACAATCATTCAGTCCTCCACAAATGCTTGCGGGGAGACACCCTCCCTCCCCCACAAGGAGTAACGCTTCCGTTGCTCCTCAGGGGGAGGGTGCGGCTGCACTTAGGCAATAAATCCCCTTCAAAGCCATCTCCCGCCAAGGTTCCGTCCCAGGCCACCAGGTAAGTACAGACCACAACCTTAGGTATCGGAGCAGCTTAAGATCAGTCATACACACTAACATGCTATAGCTACTGAATCTTGATGCATCGTGGCTTCTTCGATCTGAATAAAATAACACTGGCAGTCTTAAAAAAAAAAAGAATTGGTGATTCAACGCAATGGAGGACCGTTAAGCGCAACACGATACAGAAGCATCCCAGCTCGGCTCAGAAGAGAGGCGCAACGCAACCACGCTCAAAAGGATTGCGAAGCAATGCAACGCAACTTTTTTCATGAAGCTGATTTCTCTAGTTTCATTACCATGTAAGAGGTTTGAATACAGCATAATACAACTTGCTTATTCAACGCAATACAGAACTACTTGGCTATAACACAGTGCGGTGAAGTATTCGCAGAAAATTTGACCGGTCTAGTTCGCAGGAAATTTGAATGGTCAATCGATTTGCAAAAGTTTGATCACATGAGAAGCAGGACCTAAGGCGTTCGGTGGAAAATCGCATAAAAAGCTTTAGTGCTAATCTGTACCTCAGCAATCGTGCGCGCAAAATAAATTAATGAATTTTACAATTCAAAATTAGAACAATAAGTGTGCGTCAATCACCCCTACAAACGCGCAGCAAGAATATGTTTTCAGCAGGAAATGTCGAGGGAAAATTTATTCGTAAATTAGCATGCATTAACAGCTACTAAACGTACTAGAAAGTAATTACAAGACTGGTTCGAAAATCACTGTAAATAAAAAGATAGGTTTCGAAATATAAACTGAAGAAAAGTTTGCATTGTAATTTTGAGCCCGATAACGTGCCATAGTAAAGGATGCTTAAGAATTTGACCAACAAAAGAAAATCATAAAATTACTACCCATTTTATTACTGTTGATCCTATCAAAAGTTTTTCCTAAAATGTTAAGCATAAAAATATCTCTGTTTACGTAATAAGACCGCATCATCGTTCCAAATATTATTACAACCCGTGTTTATCACGTTACAAATACAATTATTTTCGTTTCCATAAATATAAGAATTACACTATTGCAAAACCCCTTCAGAGTTTATCACTTCAGAGTTTATCACCTCACTTACTATTTCACATTTTTTGTTTGTAGTTCACCTTGGGAGAAATTCCTTATATCTTATTGTAATTACTAAGTAAAATTTAATACAAGTCCTCACCAAAAATAAATTTATCTTATTTAATTGGATTAGCAGCAATTGAATTTCCAATTTGTCTGCAGTCGTATCTTCGTTGAAAATATTCATTTCACCCATTAAACCCTAACATCAGTATCCATATTCGTTATACTCTAATCTAGTTGAATCTCATGACAAGGGGGATTTGTTTAACAATCCAAGCTGGTGATCATTTCCTTTATTCTCGTGATCTTAACGAATGACTGAGCTGTATTATTGTAAGGAGAAATTACAAGCAGGTCATTCATCGGGTTTAAAGGATTCACACAACTTTAAATCGTTCTTATCTATAGCCGAGAACTGAGGATATCTAAAACTTGTTTCTTTGTCTTGACGTAGGAGGGTAAAAAGTCCTTATATTTCGCAGTCCAGTCGTCGTAAACCTCATCTGGCAAAATTTGCTTTGATGTCATGGGTCGCACAGGTCCATCAATCACAGGTGTTTCCACGAAGTCCACAAAACAGCCCTTGGGGTCCTCACAAGGAGCGTTATCTAGCTCCAATAGAACAACTTCGGTTACTGCCTTACCCGAATTAAGGATGCTCGCTGGGACATACAGGGTGATCTGGGGTCCAACCACCGGCCAATAACGTCCAATGTTGAATCCATTTACAAAAGCCTGACCCTGGCATGTAAAAGCAAGATAAAAGATGAGAAAACTTTTAGGAGTGCTTAACATTTGACTTTTCCGTACGCTCATAAAAAATTGAGAAGCACTGACAACATATACATAATATATTAAGAGAGATGATAAGTTTTTTAGGTCGGTAAAGAAATAAAGAAAGATATTTTTCGCCTTGCTACGAGCGTGGGTTAGAGAAAAAATTCTCCATCCAGTCCCCATGAGGAATAGAACCTAAGACCTTCGGATTCTTCGTGACAAGACGAAAAACATCTTTCTTATTTCTTTACCGACCTAAAAAACTTACCATCTCTCATTCTATTAACAACATGACGCTATCGACATTGCAAATCCTAACAGTATGCAGGACGCGTATAAACTTTGTATGAGACCTCGCTCACCGTAGAGTCTCAGTGGCTCATTTGTAGAGCATAGGAGCGCGGAATCCGAAGGTCTGAGGTTCGATCCATCATGGGAACTCAGAATTTTTTCTTTGTCCCACGCTCGTGAAAAGACGAAAAACATCTTAAACATATACATATATAGAAAGAGGGAAGGAGTGACCGCAAAGACACTCTGCGCTTTCAATCTACCCACAACTGCAATCAGATAAGTGTGGGAACGAGGCTAAAAGTGTTTGTCAACCTTTGCAAATAAATACTGCGTCTTTTAAAAGACATACACGTATAAACTAACTAAATATACACTTTGCATTTGTTCTAAGAGGTAGGCAACTGTATATCTCACCTTAAACCAACCAGGAAGTTTGAGAAACGTGTCCATTGGGATACCTTCTGGTGCAGGGGGAATGTTCCCATGATAAAACGATGGGATTTGAACACTACTTTTGCTTTTGAGCTTTATCAATGAAGACTTTTTACGACCAATAAAATCGTCTAGGTGCAGAGGGTATATGGTCCAGTTTCTGAGGACCGCGCCGTTAAGGGTCACATTTCCAAGGATCCCTTTTGGGTCTTGTAAATGGGGGCCGTAGTTAACCCGGCCCATGTTTTCCACCAAGATGTCCAAGGTTGCGCCTTCTTTAACTTCTATGGTGGCATTGGTCTTTCCACCTACTCGAATAAGTGTCGCTTGACGGACCTACACAGATAAGAACTTCTCAATAAATATATCAATTATTTATTTATTTTCATTTATTGCTTGTTAAAGAGTTGCCCTGCTGAACCTCTAGGCACACGGAGAACAATCTCCTTAAAAGACGCATTGCGGCAAAATGATGTAGAGTTTGTGATGACGGAAACCCTGAAATAACCCTGGTTAAAGTTACTACACTTCCGTTTTTATCCCGATTCTTTCGCTTTTCTTTCCAATTCATTCATCTCTTAAATACTACTCGTCTTTCTTGTAACCAAAAAGAACAAATTTCGAAGCAACGCGTAATTATGTGACCTAAATGGGAAAATGTGTGTAGAAAATTCCAAGTTCACTTAACTCGCTTTGTCAAAGGAATGCATTACGCTGAAATTGTGAATCAACAACTTTTGTATTACATACCTGGTTCACAAACACAATTCCTCTGTCCCGTAGTCCAGGGATTCCTAGGTCTACTGCAGGACCACTGACGGGTATAATCGTTCGATACAAGATAAATCCATAGTTCTGCCCGATCTGCTCCATACTCAAAGTATCATTCCTCAAAACAGGTCCAGATGGTGTAAGGAAATGCAGGGCATCAAAAATAGAACTGATCTGCAGTTAAATACAAAAGTTATGATCACCCCGAAGAAACACTCTAAGCACTTTTCTACGTGCTGGTCCTTTCAGAAACCATTGCATGACCAATAACTTTGAAATATGATAGGCTGAATTACGCGCGTAATGATGTACATGGAAAAATTACGCACTTCTGATTGGGAGAGAACGAGTGCATTCTCGTGCAACACGAGTGCAAAGTTGTAATGGGTGCAAATTACAAATAGCGCGCGAACGCTACAGGCTCGTGCAATTTTGTTGTCATTGAAATTTTATTTGTGCTTATTAACACCAAATTGCAGTCGAAATCATGTTATTACCTATACCAATTTAACTGGTTCCCAGTTATGATCTATTGGAGGACAGATGCATAAATGACGTCACTATTAGCAATTTATTTGCTTCTTTATAACACAAAACAAGTAGTTTCTATGTTACAGTGGGTCTGCCTTCCAGTATCTACTCTAACTCCAAAACCGTAACGTCAACCCAGACAATAGTAACAAAATAAGCAAGAAGAATCTGAGTATACTTACTTTGGTCATATTAACCTTTCCATATGAAAACTTCTGCGTGGGGGGAGGGACAGGACCTGGGGGGACTGTGGCATATTTAGCGATGGTTTCCATGATTACAAAATACTTTGTAGTAGGGTCTCCTGCTTCGGTCAGTGGAGCATCGTAGTCATAGCTGGTAGGCTGTGGTTGGAAGACGCGACTATCTTGATAGCCATTGGCTCCTAAGAGTTTATCAAGAAAGTTAAAAAAATACAACAAATATAGTCGAATCCCTCTCGAAGAACTATTTCTTGATTTTCATCTCAGGATATCTTTCCTGTGTAGGTAAAGGAGACACAAAACTTCTCTTCATGGCAAGAGCACTAGACTCTTTTTTTAAAAGTGTTGTGTCGTTTAGAAGACATTTTAAGCCTCTCTCCGTACCATAGTGGTTTGTTAGAAAAACGTAAAAAATTGCCAGCTAGTAGTAGACCACGGACAGTCCCTCCTTTCGGCGAGGTCCGTCGTGCGAAACAAAACAAAACGAAAAAATCAGCGACGCGGGGAGCCCTTGGAGTGAGACGCTCGAAAAGTAGCGCCTCCCTTTTTCCCTGATTCTTTTTGACTTGCGCAACGGAATTCGCCGAAGAGGGGGACTGCTCGTATCTACGCCAGCAGACCCTCATTAGCGTTGCAGGACGCGCATCTCTCCGCCTGCGGGGAGATCTGAGACGAATCGGGACAGGTTTGCTGGTAGCTGTGGCCAGCTACCATGTTTTCCTACATACCATTCATGAAACCAAAGTTGGTGCCACCTTCAAACATGTACATATTAACAGAGGCATTCAGTGCAAGGATTTTGTCAAGGTAAATTGCAAATTCTGCTGCATTCCTTGTCTGGTGTTGCTCAGCCCAGTGGTCAAGCCAGCCAGGATAAAACTCAGAATTCACCAGAGGTCCGTTGGGTTGATATTTTCGCAGGAGGGTAAAAGGAACAGCAGGATCAACTCCTGTAAATAAGAGACATTAGGGTGTTTATCTCTCAGTGGGGCAAGAAATAAATATACAAACTCTGATCTTTGGTCAAATCGACTTGAAAATGTAAATTGGCCACCGTAAAGAGTTTA